AATGTATTTTGTCTTTAAATAAAATATATATTAATTAAATATAGGGGGTGGTAGGAGAAAATTCTCAAACAGCTTCAGGGAGAACCTTGAGTTTTCCTGAAGCAAGTTTATTCTTTTCTCTGAGGATGAGGGTCCCTAGGACAATTCTAGAGGTGGTACCATCCATATATTATATATATATATATATATATATATATATATATATATATATATATATATATATATATATATATATATATATATATATATATATATATATATATATATATATATATATATATATATATATATATATATATATATATATATATATATATGCGTGTGTGTATAATGTAATGGTTGATAGTTCATTATTTCTGCTGTTCTAATAAATTCTCTGATTGTTGAAGCTATATTTGCTATTGTATTTACACAATGCCTATTACTTAGCCTCTCCACACTTACACTTACACTTCAGAGCGTTTCTTTGAATTTGTGACCAAGTGCAGTGGACAGAGGATTGTCATGTTCCTCACAAGTTTCTCATTGCTTGTGAAGGATTAATCTAGCATATTTTCATTTCTAGTAAGCTCTATTACATTAATACGTCAGTTTCACAATACGCTTAAATATTGAATGTTTACTGCCTTTCATAATTTTATGATAGAGCTTAAGCAAGTATTAAGTCCTGCTCCGAGTCATTTCCTCACTGTATTAAAGTGATTCACTTTATTCTTGGTCAGATTTTAACTGTGAAAAAGTATCCAAACATTTCATAAACTTAATTAATTTATTCATAATGTGAATTAATATTCATCTACACGACAACGTTAAACATCAATGGTCGGGAATTATACATAATTTTTAACTTCATATATAATTTTTTTATATAATCGGAAAACATTGTGACAATTTTGCAAGAATAACGATGACAAAATCCATGTCAGAAATGTGTTGGGAGAGAAAGCAATCATGGATGTGATTGTAAAATGGGATACACAGTGACAAGAGCAACCAATCAGGTGATCAAGGTCTGCAGGTCTTGATGGCGAGATGTTGTGTCACTCAGCTGGCCAGGTCTTGGTAACAGTGGTGGAGGAGTGTCACTGGAAGCAGTATGGGGCGTGATTAAGACACATGTGCAACATCTGGGTATCTTTATTGTAGACGTTTCGCCATCTAGTGGCTTTATTAATACAAATTCTAGGTGCTCAGTTATGTCCCTCGGCCATCTCCAAGGCTAAGGGACTGATTACCTCATCTTCTGTACATAGTTCTACTGTCTTCAAGTTATGTCCTGGAATTTGTATTGATAAAGCCACAGGATGGCGAAACGTCTACAATAAAGATACCCAGATGTTGCACATGTGTCTTAATTTCATCTTGTCGGTATTGTATACCATTCTTGCACAACAGTATGGAATGTGTTTGTTTTACATCATTAACGTGTGCTCCATCCATATCTTGGTTTTACCTTAATCTGTTTGAGAACTGCATTTTAGAAACACCTCTATGAGCAACTACCATATTCGGTATGTTTTACATGGTGGGAACACCCTCTTCGTGTGGCTGCCTTTTTCTATAGGAGTGTTTTATAGTGGGAACACCTGCTGGAAACAACTACGACGGTAGGGTACTTTTGCCTCTGAGATAACACAAATGGTGATGGTCTCTAGGCACCATGATATTAGTATTGGAGTAGTGATAAGAATGAATGGGAGGGTGTTGGTAACCTGGAATGAGGTGGATATCCTAGGGGTGAAATTTGATTCCTAACTGTATATGAAAAACCATGTGGTAAATCTTGCAAGCAAGACAGCTAAAAACCTAACAACGTTGTGGCGTATTTCTTACCTAGTGGACAGAAGAGTCTGCAAAACTCTGTACGAGGCACAAGTGCCTCCCACATTGAGTATGCTCCGTTGTCATGGATTACCTGTCTCTCGTTGGATCTACGGCTTCTGGCCAGAATGGAAAACAGAGAAAGACGACTTAGCTCTCGCCTGGACCCAGCCTGGATAGATCTGTCATTACTGCAGAGCATTTAGTACCAGACAGGGTAGGTTGTGTTATTGTTATTTACAAGCCCAATATTTCCAAGGTAGCAAAAGTGTCTCCACATCGCGAACAGCGAGAAAATGGCTTATAAACAAGACTGGCAGGAAACAACTACACTCTGGGTGTACCATTCTCAAGAACATCACTTCATCTGAGATCATTCATTAAGAGAATGACTCGATTCTGGAACATGTTTTTGATATGAATATGAAGTAAAGTCAGCTTACAAACTGAAGCTGCTCACCCACAGCTTGCTACAACCTCATCCTGTTCCATATTTGTCTCAAACAAATAGCTGAGGTAGGTAACAGCTCTTACTTTTTAAATAAAGACAGGAACTCTTAACCTAACCCTGTGAAAGCCTTGTGTATATAAAAGAGAGAGAGAGAAAGAGAGAGGGAGAGAATGATTGAGGAATAAGTCTTTTCACTTTAGCTGGCAACGTGTATCACAGAATTTTTATTGAACGAGTTATGGGAAAGAAGGAAGCTGGAAGTGTCGATTATTGTACTTTATGTAGAACGCTAAACAAGTGAGTGTCGTTGTGCGCAAAGAGTACGGAAGCTCTATTGAGCGGGAGTGAGCTGTGTAGATAACTTGTTCAGTAATCTTGTACAGTGGTTGGTATCACGAGATCTTGCAGCGCTAATCAAAGGCGTTGATGGCTGATCTAGAGTTTATTTATATATGTACAATGACTAGTAGCTAAGTTGACCGGAGATGGTAGTAGTACTGAGTGATGGGAAGCACTGTAACATGTTTTTGATAGGATGATAGAACTAGATAGACGGCCTGTCACATGTGCAAGTCTGTCGATAGATGTCTCTGTTTTTGTATCTGGGCTGGACTCTTTTTAATAATAATATCTTAATTTCTACAAGTACATGTACAAGGTATACAGGGCTAGCTATCATCACTGACTATATAGAAAGCCGCTTGTTATGCTGAGCATTTCGGGCAAATTAGATCGGTATTGTCCCAGGATACGACCCACACCAGTCGACTAGTACCCAGGTACCTATTTTATAATGATGGGTGAACAAGGACAACAGTTGTTTTGTTAAAACACATCCCTAATGTTTTCCAGTTGTACCGGAGATTCGAACTCCGGGCCTCAGTGCGTGAGCTGAGTGCGCTAGCGATCGTGCTATTGGACACCTTGAATGAATACAAAGTTAGCCTCTATTTACTTGGCTACATCCTTTTCCCGACATAATCTACCCCTTCGGCAATGCTCCCGACTGTGGTATAAAAACGAACTTCTCTCCAATAGGAAGGCTGGGAGGAAAAAAAAACTGCGACTACATCACTGAAGACGAGCTAGCAAAGAGATGTAGGGGCCCTGCATATACAGTACCCCCTTTTTTCGGTGTTCCACGTTTTCGTTGGCTACCCCTTCGGCAATGCTCCCGACTGTGGTATAAAAACGAACTTCTCTCCAATAGGAAGGCTGGGAGGAAAAAAAAACTGCGACTACATCACTGAAGACGAGCTAGCAAAGAGATGTAGGGGCCCTGCATATACAGTACCCCCTTTTTTCGGTGTTCCACGTTTTCGTTGGCTTCAGATTAAGCCACTGTTGATTATGTTCCACCCGCCGGAACTGATTGCGTCAATCTCCTTCTGAATTTCACTATTCTTGTTTGCATTGGGGTAAGGGATTATTTATTTAAAATGCATAAACATGAATACAATAGAGCAACATATCAAAGATTATGGAGCTCCTCCAGCTCCTCGAAGCTGAACGTGAGCCAAGAATGCAGAAAACATTTTCCCTCTGGATGGCCATGCTGAAGCTCTGGAACACGGCTGCCAGTGAATCCTTAGTGGTGTCAGTGAGTCTGGAACCCATTTCTTTGAGAAAACGTGTGGCGTTCTTTCCCTATGATCTCAAAGTCTCCAGTCCCAGTGTGACAAATTGATAGTGATGGCATATGTCTTTGTACTTGCTGATCTTGCACTCCTCCCTGTGATCTGTAGCACCTCTCTGTTTCCCAGCGCTGTGACGGATGTAGGTGTCAGCCAGAGTCGACACGCAGGTATAGTGCCATGCTAAAAGCTTGCCATACTGTTAAGGATAGATGGTGATCCCTCAGGGTGGGTCGCAGGATTGTGAGTATTGCTGGATGCTAGTGATCGAGTCTTTCTCTTAGCCGGGCATCCAGCTTAGGCAAGGTTCCTCTTTATGATGTCATTGACTTCATTGCGTTTCGCCTGCCAACCCCTCGTTCTGGAGCAATTTAGAGTGTGTAGACCATATCGGTCGGTTTGTGCATCCCCATAATTACATGTATATCCTAGTGAATTGGGACAAGGAGAGGGAAAGCCACTACAGCACGGAGGGTCTGTGGGTCAAGCCATGTTTCCATTGCCGATATGGGAACTGTTAGAAAATAGTCCCCAAAGTGATGTGCACTCACAGCTTGGAGTTAGACAATTTCCTTGTTGGACGTTACGGCTCCGAGCAAGTTGTTATGAACCTTTTCAGCAATGGGGCCATCACACCTGGAATGTTTGTATGCTAGTGCTGCAATGGGTTTTGCGCTGGATCAGTAAGAGTTTCCCATTTAAAGGTGGAAGATAGAGACATGTTCGTGAGGTATATGTAGGTGGGAAAAAAAAAATAAAAACAGTGTGTTTTTTGTATAAGTCGGAGAGAGATAATAGTTGATGTTTGCGGTATAAAAGGTGGAAAGAAATAAGATGTGGCATGATGTATATATAAGAGTGAGAGAGGCAGTGGTGGACTTATAAAGTATATATACGTAGGAGGAAGACAGTGGTGGGTTCGTGAGGTATATATAACTGAAAGGAAGACAGTGGTGGGTTCGTGAGGTATATATAAATGAGTGGAAGACAGTGGTGGGTGCGTGAGGTATATATAACTGAAAGGAAGACAGTAGTGGGTTCGTGAGGTATATATAACCGAAATGAAGACAGTGGTGGGTTCGTGAGGTATATATAAATGAGTGAAAGAAAGTGGTGGGTGCGTGAGGTATATATAGGAGTGAGGAGATAGTGGTGTGACACTCTGGTGACAATGGCTCGCTGCACAGCTCCATCCTTGACTCTGCCCTTGTTTTTGCTTCTGCTGCTGCCAAGTGAGTGACGCTGCTGGAGTTTCTGATATCGTACATATCCTCCAGTTGTGTATCGATAAAAAATTTTGTCTACCCAAGAGTACTTTAATAATAATTTTATATCCATTAAAGTGTGATTACTGATAGAAATTATATGTACTCACCAATAAGTGGTTGCGGGGGTCGATTCACAGTTCCTGGCACATACGTGTGTGTATATATATATGGGTGCCACTTCCAGGTGATTAACAATCTTCGCTTGGTAGCTTGGTTAACAACTTGTAAGGCTACAGTGCTTGCTGCATACACTTCGACGTAGGTACCACAACCTGCATAATCAGGAGTCTCTCCCTCAGGAACAAATTTAGCTTATTTTTTGAACTGAAGAATTTATTGCTAATTTTCCTTCTATTTGAAGGAAGTGCGTTGAAAAGTGTTCTCTTACTGGACTTAATGCACCTTTGGTTTCGTATAAGTATTTCCAGTCCGCAGACTTGACACCAACGATTTTAGCATTTTACAAGTTTAAACTCAGAAGTATCATCCTTGTTTGCTTTCCACAAAGTATAATTTAAATGATTTTAATTGATTTTAATAATTTAGATGCTCGAATTTATTCCAACAGCGACTTTAACATTTTACAAGTTTAAACTCAGAAGTATCTACCTCGTTTGCTTTCCACAAAGTATAATTTAAATGATTTCAATTAATTTTAATAATTTAGATGCTCGAGTTTATTCCAGCAGTATTTTTTTTCACTTTCTCTAATAGTCTGGTTGCCCTAATGAGCTTGTTAGAGTAAAGTAACAATCCCGACTTAAGAGCATAATCGTTTCCTGGACACCTCCAATTTTTGGTTTTCCTGCTCATTATTTCCCATGGAGGTGTTCCAGCAACACTAGATATTCCGACATCAATACCGCTACATTCCTCTTCCCGTTTTTTTTATTATGTTGTTTGAGAACATTTCATGTGTCCTCGATGAACATCGTTTATTTTCTGCTGCCCCTCAAGAAAATTTGGTTTACATTAGTTTAATTAAAGACTTGCAGTGTTCACTGGAGGCCTCTTTTTTCATTACATATTATGATCGTCCAAGAAAATATTACTGTGCTGTTGGCCTTTTTTTTTCTATGTCATTTTTAAGAATAATTGAAACAAATATTGCGACTTGAGAAACAACTTTTCACTGTGAAAGTCTCGATTTTATTGCTAGAAAATCGTAAGATTTTCATATTCCAATACTGTTTTATTGTGCGCACTTTATATGAACATCTTGTAAGAGTTTTGAAAGTCTTTATAAATATTATTCATCATTGTCGTCCTCTAGTGCGTAATAAAATACATTTATATCCAATAGTTCCAGATTTTCTGTTTGTTGTCTTCGGCACTTGCAGTGGTACCCTTGTAGATTGGTTTTAAACCGTCATTTTAATATAATATTATAAATTACCGACTATGAAGTTAAACATGTAATCATGGTTCTTAGTCGTTGCCATCCAGGGGCTTTTTAAAACGCATTGCTATTTACGATAGTTGTTGTTTTATTTCAAGCACGTGTGAGAGTGATTTCCTCCACACGATGCTTGACTATATGGGCTATTATCATCATATGTTCTAGTCTTCTATTAGTGTTTTTTAAACACTGTCCGTTATAAACTGTACATCTTAACTTAATATTATCAACCACATACTCGACTGTACAGCAACTCAGCCTCAAAAATTCTGTGTGCATTTCCTAAGATATGGTTATATTATTTAGGTAGGTTATTTTAGACTGTCTTCTTCCAATCAAAATTTATTATTTATCACTTATCAGAGGGCCAATAAATACAATTTCAATAAAGAACAAATAGAAGGTGTTCGACCATTCAACTGTCCTTGTTTTCTACTCGCCTTCTTTTGTTTTTTCTGGATTACAATTGTTTTCGTGGACTTATGTTATCCTACACTTTGTTAATTTAAGTGACAGGCAACACTCTAGTCATACTAAGTCAAACCAAACCAAAAGTTAGTCTTGAAGTTTGTTATTAAAGAGAAATAGCTAAAAATTCTGTGACAAAACCGACTGTTTATAAATGCCTGAATTACCACTATTGCTTATGAAGAAAGGCTATGTACATACACCTAGGAATTTGTTGGTGATCCCATTATTATGAAGGGAGGGCGTTAAGGGTCACGATCTTTTAACATTTATTGGGTTCTCTCTTATTGTACTCATCGCTCGCCTACTTTTCATTGGAGGTATTCGGCACTGTCTGCCAAGCGTCCAATGTTTATAAGTAGTTATTTCGGTGTGCAGGTTTCTTAGCAATCCCTCTATTATCTTCCAGATGTAGATTATGATGTATCTTTCTCGTCTAAGTTCTAAGGAATATAGTTATAGGGATTAGAAGATCTCCCAGTAATTTAGGTGCTTGGTGGTGTTTATATGAACTGTGAAAATTCTCTGTACATTTTTCCACCTCAACAATTTCGCCTGTCTTAAAGGAAGTTATTAATACACAGCAATACTCCAGCCTAAAGAGAACGAGTGTCCAGATGAGAGTCATCATTGGCTTGGCGTCCCTTGTTGTGAATGTTCTAGCTATCCAACCTGTCATTTATTTCCTTCATTCTTCTATGGAGTAATAACCGAAATTTTTCTTAATTTCTGTGGATGCCACATTCATGTCACCCGCTCTTGTGAATAGTATTTCCAGTGGGCAGACTTGGAGTAAAGCTCCAGTACTTTACAAGCATTAATTCTGTTACATCTACTTCACCTGCTTTCCAGAAAGTATATTTCGAGTCAGTAATGACAAAGCCACACAACAAATAATAACTCACTCTAGTATCCCCTGTAAATCATTTCACTTAACTATGGAGGCACAAGCACACCAGTCTGGGAACTCCTGGGTTATGGAATGCAATAAATCATATATTTTTGCATTCCATAACCATAGACTGCCCTCTCTATCAACGAGCACGCAGAATTTACCTCCAACGTCGTCTTCGTTCTACTACTCTCTCTTTACCTTCCCTTCTTGCTGATGGACCCTCCTTTAATCCTGACTCTCTCATTGACTTCTTGACAACGACTGATTTACTCCACAAACTCTGATGATACTTTTCGCACTCCCCTCAGCCCTTTCTAGTTCAGTCTCTTGCTGCCCTTTACCCTTTCACCATCCACTACCCCGCTGTTATCCGTAACCTATTACTCATCCATCTCCCTTTTGCCACCTGATGCCCTCGCTTCCTTCCTGCCCTGCAGCGCTGTATAGTTCTTGTGGCTTAGCGCTTCTTTTTTGATTATAAAAATAATAATATGAATTTGGATTGGAAGAAGAGTGTATGAGAGAGCTATCAATGACTTTTTCAAGGAAAGTTGTGGTTCAGAGTTATGTCGAAAATCTTAGCACTATTATATTTTATTATATTGATTAATGATATACAATACTGACAAATTGATGTGTAACACATGTGATACTCAATGTGTCATTTGGACTGTAATTTCCGAGCACTACTGTCAAGACAGCTGTTAAATGAATGAGTGTGAATGTGTTTTCTTCTTCAGTATGATGGGGTCGATGTATTAAAAAATACAACACAAAAAACGAATGAACGAACCATACTCGCTACCCTTGGATGCCGTTATTGCTGAAGCATTTCACCTGAGCAACAGAGCAGAGGTGACAGCTGAACTGGAGAGTGTAAGTAGAGGAGCTGTTAGTTTGAGGTGTTCAGTCCTTCACTCCCTCTAAACAGTCAAGAAATCTTGACTGGATAGAGGGAGTGAAGGAATGAACACCTTAAAATGGCCTCTACACTGCAAAATAACCTACAACTAACACTCTAACTTGACCACTTCTTCCAATGTCTACAGTTTAAGTGTTACCTCTGTTTTCAGTTGAAGAAACCTGCCATGCAGGTGATACCTTTCAGTAATAGTGGTATCCGAGTGCCAAACGTGTTTTGATCATCAGTATTTTGTGTTCCGCTTTCTTAATATATCAACCCCAAATCTATATTATTGGCCTTCATTCATATAGCTGTCTTGCCAGTAGTGCGCGGACATCACAATTCAAATAACACTTCAAATCGCATTCACGAAAAATTTATGTAGGCAGTTCAATTTCGCTGAATGCTTTTCTTTCTCTCTCCGTCTCTCTTGGGCGTTTTACGATGATTTCATTTTCAGCTTTCCTCTTGATACTTATTCTAACAACTGTTTGTTCTCCCTTGAGAAAGTCTGAAGCTTATCAGCAGATCTGAGAATCATCGGGTTCTCCTATAGAGGGAGCATCACTTTCCTTCTAAATTGTCTCGGCTCTTTAACTCACAAAATCATAATAAACGGATCACAGAACGGATGTTGCTGGAACCCAGAGCAAGCGCCTCCTCGTTTACCTTGGGAACATTTTACAGATGAGTCTCCCGTTAGGGTGGCAATAACGAACTCTAGCTCAAGACCCTTCAAAGCCGTCATCATGACTCACAAAATCGAAATAACACGAATGCACGTCCTCGTTCTAAATGTAAGACTGGATCACATTTCCAGTGCCACTGAGCAGAGCCAATCGAGAAACTGATACATAATCTCTTCCCGTACTAGATTCTTTATTTCAGTCAAGTTGATGTCCTTTTATTGTTGAAAACATTTTGTTTTAAATTCTCTGCTAATAATTTGTTGGGCTGCCCTGATCTGTTGCCTATGAAGATGTACTATAATTAACACCATCACACAGATAATTGTTGTTTGCGTTCCAATACCAGGGTATTTTCCAGTCTGGTTGGTTCCACGACTTGCTGGATTTTGTGGAAAAAAAATCAGTCTTTATGGCTCGTATGTTAGTATCTCTTAATGCTAATATGTGCCTCCTGGTGTGTTCTTTGCTTTCACAGTCATTGTTATACCTTCATAGCGATTGTAATACCTTCAAAATGATTGTTATACCTTCACAATGATTGTTATACCTTCACAGTGATTGTTATACCTTCACGGTCATTGTTATACCCTCACAGCGATTGTTATACCT